CTCACCGCTGCCGGGCTGCGGGGACAGGGTGGACACCGAAGTCTGGCCCATGGCTGGGGGTCGCAGGGCCAGATCCGGCGATCACGAGGCTCCTTCAGTCCTCCGGGCATGGGTCCCTTCCCCGATGGCTTTCCACGGGTTCATCCCGGCCCCGGGACCGAGCTCGCTGCCCGGATCCCCCGCACCTTCTCCCCCGTGCGCGGGTCTCCCAGCCCGGCCGGCCGCAGCCCGGCGCGGAGGATCCAGCCCAGCGGATGCCTGTCATTCCTCTATGCAGATTAGCTGGGGTCAGGGGTCACGGGGAGAGGAAAGGGGGGCCAGGGCGATAGGCAGGGAGGAGGGGAGAGACTCGGAAACGGGGTGTGGGGGGGGAGGGGTGCTGAGAGACCCGCACCCCGTCAGGGCAATGGGAATTCAGACAATCACTGTACTCCTCCCCAACCCCAACTTTAACTTCAAAGCCAAGTGAGCCTTTAGGTGTGAAAGAAAAAGAAAGTACTTAGTCATGGTACTTCACTCAAGAAAGAGGGTTTCTTTCCAGTTAGTTCCTTCCTTATATTGTATGCAGTTATTTCGATAATGTTAGACAGAGTTTGGCCAGCACTAGCTCTGTGAGGTATGTTTTCCTTACTTAACAACAAAAAAAATTATCTTCCTTGTAACAAGTACAACAACCCAACATAATGGCCTCAGGATAGACGAGGAATCTCAACTGTATGGTGTGAAGTCTTTCTTCTCTTGGCTCCCATCTTCTCTATTTCCAAGGAATCACTGAAAACAACAACTAATTTACGAACTACTATGCCCTGAGAACCCTATGGAAACAAATCCTATTATAATTTCCCACTAATTTTTCATTTTCTTAAAAATATGAGTACAAACTCATGTTTGGGCTTACCTACTGATGACACAGCCAATGGAATGATGCTCCCATAAACATGTCCGTTTCATGAACATTTAACAAACTACACTTATCACTTCACACACCTTAAAAAAAAAAACAAACTTTTTCTTTGTTGTAGTAGGATTTGAACACAGGCCTGAGCTTGTTTAGAACTTGAGCCATACCACCAACCCCAATGTGCACCTTTGTAATGCATACATTTCACTAAGCAGTTAAAAATTAGAGAAAAGTGCAGTATTATTTAAGCCAACTGTCAGCTTTCATCTTAAAGTTTATCTGAGACCATCAACCCCAAAGTACTCTCTGTTGTAAGGAAAATCCTTTCCCCCAAAACCATGATCAGGGATCTATTTCCTTTTGTTCTCCTTTCTTTGTGGCATGGTTGCAGCAGGCTGAGGATTGAACAGTTCTGCCCTGAGCTGGGCCCCTAGGCCAAGAGAGCACCATTTTCTAGATAAAACTGAGGACTCAAAACAAAATGTGAGTTCTAATTAGGACAAAAAATTTAATCCTAAATTTCTTTTAATGTTCAAAAATGTTGTGCTTTGTGAACACATTCTGCTTGGGAGTTCAGCAGTGAAAGTAAGCAGTTAGGAGGGCTGGCTTCTTCTTGCTTTAAGTCACCTTAAAGTTTAAACAAATAAATAAGTAAACAAAATAGTGAATACAAGTTTAGAGGAGGGAATGTCTGTTTTATTATTCCTCCTACTGACAAAGGAGGGCACTGAGCAGAGGTAATTATACAGTAAATCTCGAATACACATTAAAAATAGAAGCTGGGTACTGGTGGTTCATGGATGTAATCATAGCTACTCAGGAGGTAAGGTCTGAGGATCATGGTTCAAAGCCAACACAGACGGGAAAGATTGTAAGACCCCTATATTCAGTAAATCACCAAAAAGTAGGAAGCAGAGCTTTTGGCTCAAATGATAGTGTGACAGCCTTGAGTGAAAAAGCTAAAGGACTGTGCCCAGACCTGAGTTCAAGTCCCAGTACCAACAGGAAACAAACATGAAAGTGGAGAAGAGAATCTTTTTAAAATTCATAAAAGTTAAACAATCTCAATATTTCTATCGGTACTTTCTCTCTTCTTCAAATTCTTATTTCTAGCATCATAGAGGATGCTCTATAGTTCTGGTTTTTATTATGTTTTTATTTTTAGAATTTGCTTCATTTATCAACATTGACCATAAGAACTTTTTATGATTTTCCTGATTAATATACTCCTTCATGATTTTCTAATTACTATATTCTTCAATTTATTCTAGCCTGTTCTGGGATTGGTATAATCTCTGCTCAGGTTACACAATTTTCTCCATGACTCTTCCAGTTCCATTACATTATCTTTGAAGCATGGCAAGCACAGTGTACGAAGCGTGCAGTAAGGTTCCTTACAGAGGTGGGACAGCTATTTTACTTCCAGGAGGTCTGGTGGGACTGCTAATGACAGAAAATAACCAAAGAAATCCTTAAATCTCATTTTGAGGTCAAAGCCATAAAAATTAAGGATTATCATTTGACAAGAGTATTTTAAGATAATTTCTCTTCCAAATTGACTTACACTTGACATTATTAGCACTCACAGTTTGATAAACAGTTCTGGGTGTTACTCTCATGGGTTTACAGTTGAATGCTAGAAGCTTCAACATCATCTGAAAAATATGTACAATTCTCTGCATATTACCTCTTTCCAGGGAATTTATTAAAATGCTAAACAAAGCATGCACTGGTAGCTCTTGCCTGAACTCCTAGCCACTCAAGAGGCTGAGAGCTGAGGACTGTGGTCCACGATACTGTTCTCTCATATTAACCAGCAAAAAAATGTACTAGAGGTGTGGCTCAAGTGGCTACTTTTGAGAGAGAAAGCTAGAGGAGAGAATCCAGGACCTGAGTTCAAATGTGAGGGTGTGCATACATGTGTACACACACACACGCACGCGCGCACACACACGCGCGCGCACACACACACGCTAAACAAGATTAGTACTAATCTGAAGATGCCATCTATTTGTATTTGGCATTTATCCTGTTGGGCCCACTCTTTGTTCTGGATTTCTAAACCGATCTTACCTAGTTCTATGCTGGTAAGTGCTTAATCACTGCTTTGGGCAGGGGCTGCAGGAAGGTAAGAGGCTCCTAAGGTCAATTTGTGATTTGTACTGGCAAATTTCCATGACATGAATACATAAATACTCCTACCATGGCTGACTCAATAAACTACCACACAGCTAACAATACTGATGTCAACTAGCTTGTGAAATTCCTTGAAACTGAACAGCTTGGCCCAGGAACCTGAACGAACTGCTTCTATCACACAACTACTTCTGTGTGGCATGGTGTGCTGCCATTCAGTTATACCATGACTGAATGAGGAACAGTTTATATCCAACCTTCCTAAAATAGAAAAGAATCCACTTACTGATCCCCCCCCCGCCCCACCCATTGCACAGTCTAAATATTTTTCAGTCCTTGGAAAAACTGTGATTTACTTCCAGGAAGAAGTGAAATTGAGGGGGTAGCTTAGACAAGAGTTTCCCTTCCAGAGATAGTACTCAATTGTTTCTACAGCGTTTTACCCTATCACACAGATTTCACTGGCTATTTATTTTAGCCATTTGGGGAACCCAAAGTGACGCTCATCCTTGGCTATGGATGGAAGCCATTATGTAGACATAACCTTTACCAATAAAGATATAACTTCACCAATCTTGACTTTGTGAGAAAGGCCTTTCCTAACAGGGCAATCTCCAAATTTCATGCATGCAGTTTGGTAGCTTAGACAGTACTGATCTTGGAGAGGGAGAAACACAGATGCTGGGAAGGCTAACCCTAGGGCTCTCTGCTCAGACCCCACTGTGAGACACCATCTTGGGCTTGGGGGGAGATGGGTCATAGTGCATGGGGGAAGGCAGGGCTCCATAGTTCCAGGAGATAAGATGAGTTATCAAAACAGCAGAGGTCTGGGAAGTGGCCATGTACAATCCATGAAGATTATATTAACTAACACTCATTTCTGCACTGGGCTGTGAAAATCTGGCAAATTGATGGCATTTCTTTGGGTAATGGGAATTGTAGACTTAGGAAACCTTTTCCTAATGGAAAGGAAGAGAATTTAAACTTAGTCATTTTTCCAAATAGGATTAAAAAAATCAGTTTGTATTCTTGAGAGAATGGTGAAAAGAAATAAAATAAACACTCAATGTATCTAAAAGCACGGTTTTAACTAATGATGGCTGTCCATCATCTACCATTACCTGATTTCCTCAAAAAGGAGAAAACTATCTTTTCTCTCTTTCTCTGATAAAGTTGTTAGAGCACGTTTTTTTATGACCCCATCCCCAGGATGACGTTGGACCAAAGGATTTTGCTGGTGGACTGTAGAGCACATTCTTTTTTAAAGTGTAAGACAAAATGTTCTAATAATCTGGATATATATGCATATGTATAATACATATTCAGAAACTAACATATTTAAGTGTTTAAGTAGGTTTTTTTTTTAATTCTACAACATATTCCAGTGGTTTTTTTTTTTTTTTTAACTTTCTACTTCTTCAGAACTTGGCTACACTTTGTAAGAGGCGGCCTAGTTAGGAAACTATGACCAGTAAAAACAAATAGTCTTTACCGGATTTTATACTTGCAGTGGAAGTTCTGCATATATAACTAGAGTTTAGTTTCCTAAAGCAGTTGTAACTAACTGCTTATTCCATCCTCCTTTTTTTTTTTTTTTACAATTTCTGAGCAAATGCATACTTTTAATATAATGTTAATAGATAAAAGGGCAAACCTAACTTTGGACATTTTAGTTACATTGAGGGTCAGGAGAAGAGATTCCACATTCCATCAGTATTAGAACAGGAAACAAACCTGTAAGACGAGCTTTTCTTTCCTATTGTTCTCATATTTTTATATGATTTATTTCCTGAGTTTCCCTTCTTCTGCTCACTCAAGCTAACAGGATTAACAAAATACCTTGCCTCTGCCCAGCCCTCAGCCAGGCTCTGCTCAGGGGAGGGGTGAGGCTCTTTACTGCTTACTTAGTGATTGAGCTGACAATTGGAAGATTTACTGAGGAAAATAAAGAGCTCAAGGGGAGGTGCTGGAATTTCCTTTTCAAAAAAAGAAGAAAGAAAGAAAACAACAAGACTTTCCCTCCAGCCTACAGAGGAAAACTATCTCTAAGTTTTTTTCATCAACAAAACAAATTACCCATCAATAGGATTTCAAACTCTTGAGAATTGCTATCGAAGTCACAATCTTTAATTCATGGG